CCTTCATAGCAACAGTTGCTAATGAAACAGTCCTGTGTGATGCCTCTTTAGAGCAAGTCTCTGAAGTTCATACTCAGACCCAACTCCCACTGATATTAGTGCAATTTTGAATTCAATATACACTTTGTATTCAACAAATAACTCCAAGATGCTTCCTGTTTACCGTGGCTTGATCTTTGAAACCAAAGGCAAGGATCTAATTATTACTGTGTAAAAACTGAGGAAAGCACCCTAAGCTTGCCATTACTCAGCTGGAAGGACTTCTCCCTCCACTTACTCCTGCACTCTGATTGCTACGAAATCTACTGCTGTAGCCGACTTGTCCTCAGAACTCTTATCCACAAGTGCAGAAACAACATGGCCATCTAACACCTGACACCATCTTCACCATGTCACTCCACCTCACCTCAGTGTTCTTCTACCTCTCCTCTTAACTGTTTCAAAAGGGGACAGCAAAAATGGTTCATTTGAAAGTAAAGTCTATTTAATGTGGGGTCATCTGGTGTGACAGATGGGGGAATTTTGTGGGTAGCACAGCAGCCAATCCAAGTAACCATGGCTACAATGGCTTTCAAGAAGTGCCCATTAACTCATTATGTACATCAGTTCCCTTCTAAGCGTTCAAGGAGTTGCATAACTCTTTGGGCTGTGATACCTCCGCAGCTTTCTCATGCTCTGATTGGCTACAACAATGTACTCATTAGTATTGTACATAAAATTTCACCACATGGGGAAGCTACCACCACAAGTGGAACGGGAGGCTGCAGAACAGGTGCAACGGGGGAGCGCTACCTCCTGCGTGTTGTGGAGCTGAGCTCTATGCCATGTCTGTTAGTTCAGGGAGTGAAAGCTAGGTGTGATGGGGAAAGATTGGGGACTGGGCAGCTCGGAACCCAAGTCATTTAGGTGGAATAAGAGGCTAAAAGTATCTAAGTAGACAATTCTCTGCACTGGGTGTTTCAACATGTCCCTGGTTCATCTAAGGAGCTTGAGCAGTGACTGCAGAGGCTCTGAAGAGATGCTCTTCTTCTTGTCTCTGTGCCCCCAACCACCAGTTGGTTCCCTGCACAAAACCCATTTACTTGGGTTTTGTGGGCATGAGATTATGCTCTACTAGACTGTATTGCACTAGGTCAGATGTTAAAACTTGGATGCACTTTGTGTCTTCTGTCCAAGTCTGTTGAAGTCTTACATGCTCATCTGAGGGCAGAAAAATAAGACCCATGGGCCTTAGTGTGTTAAATTTTAACTTCCCACAGTCAGGTGGGAAGCCTATTGCAGCAGGATACCCTCTAGTTCTTTTGGCTAGGAGGGAGGTGGTTAATATATGAAGCTGACGGGCTGTATGTATACTACAAAGAAAAGTTGGAAAAAGTTGTAAATTGCAAAGACAGTAAACAACTAAGGATAGGAATAAATGGTAAGTTTTCAGAATGGAGAGAGGTAACTAGTGGTGTTCCCCAATGGTCTGTCCTGGGACCAATCCTATTTAGCTTACAGGCAGTCCCCGGGTTACTTACAAGATAGGGACTGTAGGTTTGTTCTTAAGTTGAATCTGGGCTGTCCGCTGCCCGCGTGCTCCGCGGCTTTGCTTCCTCTCCCTGGTCTGCTGGAGACCAGGGAGACGGGCCCCGTTCGTAACTGCGGATCTGACATAAGTCGGATCCGCGTAACTCAGGGACTGCCTGTATTTATAAATGATCTAGAGAAAGGGGTAAACAGTAAGGTGGCAAAATTTGCAGATGATATCACACTGCTCAAGATAATTAAGACCAAAGCAGACTGTGAAGAGCTTCAAAAAGATCTCACCAAACTAAGTGTTTTGGCAAAAAATGGCAAATGAAATTTAATGTTGATAAATGTAAAGTAATGCATATTGGAAAAAATAATTCCAACTATACGTACAATATAATGGGGACTAATTTGGCTTGGAAGCATTGTGGATAGTTCTCTGAAAACATCCACTCAGTGTGCAGCAGCAGTGAAAAAAGGAAAATAGAATGTTAGGAGCCATTAAAAAAGGAATAGAGAATAAGAGAGAAAATATCTTATTGCCTCTATATAAAATCATAGTACGTCCACATCTTGAATACTGAGCACAAATGTGGTTGCCTCGTCTCAAAAAGGACATATTGGCATTGGAAAAAGTTCAGAAAAGGGCAGCAAAAATGATTAGGGGTTTGGAATGGGAGAGATTAAAAGGAATTGGACTTTTAAGTTTAGAAAAGAGGAGACTAAGGGGGGATATGATAGAGGTCTATAAAATCATGACTGGTGTGGAAAAAGTGAATAAGGAAAAGTTATTTACTTATTCCCACAATATAAGAACTAGAGGTCACCAAATGAAATTAATAGGCAGCAAGTTTAAAACAAATAAAAGGAAGTTTTTCTCACTCAGCACACAGTCAACCTGTGGAACTCCTTGCCAGGGGATGTGGTGAAGGCTAGAACTTTAACAGGGTTCAAAAAAGAGCAAGATTGATTCATGGAGGTTAAAACCATTAATGGCTATTAGCCAGGATGGGTAGGAATGGTATCCCTAGCCTCTGTTTCTCTGGAAGTGGGTGACAGGGGAGGGATCACATGAGGATTACCTGCTTTGATCCCTCCCTCTGGGGCATCTGGGCAGACAAGTTACTGGGCTAGATGGACCTTTGGTCTGACCCAGTATGGCTGTTCTTATGTTCTTATGGACCACAATTTGCTTATCTTTTTACAGTTTTCTTTCAGAAAAAGCTTTTCCAAAATTTGTCGTGTCTACATGGTGCCAAATTTTGGAAAAATCTTTTTAGTCATATCCCTTCTTTCTCATACAATGAGGTTTACAGGGATGGTGAAAGAATGCGTCCACTTTTCCAAAAAAAAGTCAGAATAGCAGACGCATTCCTTAGACGTGGCATAGTTTTTTCGGGATACCAGAGGTATCCTGGAAAAGATTTGCAGTCTAGACGTAGCCAGGAATACCAAAGTAAATCCTCAAATATGACCAGACAGTTTGTGGTCCTGCACTGATATGAATGTAAGCCCACTCTTATGTTAGTGCTCTTTGCTCAGTAATCTGTAGGAAACAGGGAGGAAACATGCAGACTTGGCAAGGGGGTGGCTGCTGATAGATTTTGTCAAATGAAATCCCAGGAGACATTTGTCCAATATAAACATCTCCTGAGTGATCATATGGGAATGTGTGAGGAGAGGCTAAAATCAACATGCTAGGGAGCAGATGCTTCATGCTATCAATGGGCCTTATAGAAAAACGGAACCCAGCAAAGTAGAAAATGGACGGGGCTTGTTTTCTGCATTACTAGGGCTAACGAATTTCATTGCAGATCACTTTCCTTCACCATACTTTAGCATATCCACTTGTAAAATGGGTATAATAATATAAACCAACATCATGTAAGGATGCTGTAACACATTTGGAGCCTTTTGAAGGAATCCTCAATTTACTATGGAAAAGCTCAGAACCTATGAGGAAGGAAACTATAACAAGGGTAAAATATAGCCTGGAATGGAAGTGTCCTGTTACATAAGCATCCTTGAAGAGCTCTGCTATGGGAGACATTCACATAACATGCATGGGGCCTGCCTAACCAGGCTTTGGGGGTGGATGACATAGGGAGGTGAAATTTTCCCAAGATGCAGCATGGGCCTTCTGCTTCCTTGTACTGGAGCCTATGGTGGCATAATAATCTCTGGTTCCTTATGCCACTTATAGGAGATAGTGGTTAGGGTCAATTGATCAGTGAAATTGTAGATAGGTTCTGTGGACTTACTCGCTAGTCTGCACCCCACACTGGGCTACCAGGGGCTGCTGTGGAAACCTCTATGCACCCCAATTTTCATGGAAAGTTACAGTAGCAGCCTGTAATGACAGCCCAGCCATTGGTTTCAATGGTGCAGAGAGCCTTTCATAACATTTTGGATTTGGGGTGAATATCACCCTGTAACAGTGAGTATTGTTGGCTTTTTGGTCCGACTGGAAACTATCATTTATACACAAGGGTGTTGTACTGAGAGAGGTTTATTGAGGGTCCAAGATCTGATGCTCCTTTGCTTTGCCCCTTATGCAAAGTGAGAGCAAAGTATGTGGACGTCACCACCATTCCAATGTGGGAACCCTTCACTCTCCTTTTAAACAAGGTTTGGGGCACCAAAGAATCTGGGCCCACAGACTTAGAAAGCAATAACTTTGCACATGGCTGCAGCGGGGCTTCTCCCCAGTGTACTATACAACGGTGAATGTGTTTTTCTGTATTTTATGATAAAGAGGAGTTAATGATTAACAGACTTTTCACTGCCTCCAGCAGCTTTTTGGTGTAACGGTTCAAATTTAGCACTTGGGGAAGGGGCGAGTGGTGGGATCAGATTTCTAACCTGAGAGGAAAAAGTAACTCTGAATTCCCAGCCCTTTTTCTTTTCACAGCTGTGAAGAGTTCAGGTCAATGGAGATGCCATACTATTATAAACTTTGCCTCCAGGACACGTGATGACACATTTCTTAAGAGACTATATATTCTAACTGCAGCAGAGCAAAGTGTTCAGAACACCCGGCATTTGGCAGAGGAAAGATCTCTTGAGCTTTGTGAAGTAAAGGATTATTTTCATAGTAACGTAAGTGTCTCACGTCCCTTTTCTTTCTCCCACACCATTCAATGCAATACCACTTCTAACATTCTTTTTCCTACTGCAAGGTTGGCAGCTAGCAGAATTGCCAGTTTCAGTAACATAAATGTGGCTAGTAGAGTATTTTCCACTTTTACTCCTAATGCTAAAATGTCCGCATTTGGGTTTTGTTATATGTTAAAGCTGTATTTGTTATCATTTAATGTTATGTGCTTTCTGTATAATACTCTCTGTACTGGAACTTTATTTCATTAGAAGATTAGATATTGCCCAAGTACTGCAGACTATGCAAACTTCCGTCTGTTTGGTTCGGCCAGCTTTTAAAAAACAACACACTGTGAGTGACAAAGAGCAGCCTGGGTTTTTAATTTGTGCGTGTCTATAGGGGGTTTGTTTTCAAACATCTGATCTGTCATTTGATATCTAACAAGCGCATTCTCCTCTAGGCTTAAAATTCTGGCAAAAGTGTGTGGATGCTGAAGATGGACCGTACAAACATAACCCTAACCACATTGGCTGCTGATCCCCAGACTCCAGAGATGAACAGTGGCAATGAATACTTCTACATTCTGATCGTCATGTCTTTCTATGGGATCTTCCTAATGGGAATAATGCTGGGCTACATGAAATCCAAGAGGAAAGAAGAGAAATCCAATCTGCTTCTGCTCTACAAAGATGAGGAAAAGCATTGGGAAGAAGCCATGAAACCTCTGCCAACTGTGTCCGGACTCAGGTCTATCCAGATCCCCATGATGCTAAGCGTGCTGCAAGAAAGTATGGTACCATCTCTGTCATGTGCTATCTGCTCCATGGAGGGAAGCAGTGTGAGCTCTGAGTCTTCCTCACCAGATATTCACTTCACCATTCAAGAGGAAGTGCTGGATGATGAGCTGGGGGAAGTGTCAGAAGCCCTTCTGCATGAAAGCAGCGAAGGGTCTTCAGAAAACATCCACAAGAATTCCTAGCACTTGCAGGTCTTTGAAAAGCAGTACCATCAACTAGCAAAAGAGTGAGTCAAATTAATGTTAAGATCTTGCAGTTTTACTTGCCTGCTCAATGAACTCTCAGTTGGCAGTTGTGCTCCAGAGCCTAATATGTTCTTGAAAGCTGGCAAAATGAGGAATTGAATACACAAACATCGGCGTGAAACTTAAAAATTAGGCAACCTGAATGCTGTTTTTACTGTAAGCGCTAAGAACACGGGGAATATTTTTCTGAGTAGGTAACTGTTATTGAAATGTTCTCTGCATATTTCAGAATTCTGCAAATGTCTGGGAAATGTTGAGAGAAGTTACTCAAGTGGAGGTGACTAGTTTTGAATCATCACTGTTAATGTCCATTCTCAGAGATATGTGACCTACTAGATGTATTTTTACTGTGTTTTCCTTGTATCAAGCCAGAGAGAGTTCCAGTTTTACTTGAAGATGCCTCAGCGACTTCACATGACCAATTAGAAGTGCACATTTAGCAAAATAGATTTGATTGCAAAAGTCAGAGATCTTTCAGTGCAAAACAAGTTAAAAGAGCTTTGGTACAGACTGAAAGAGCTAGAAATGCTAGCTCTGCTCTGTTACACTGTATTGAAATAAATAGTCTTCCATGGTTTAACTCAGAGCAGAATTTTAACTACTAAGGGTGAAACTGTGGCCCCACTGAAGTCAATGGCTATATTCCCATTGACCTTAAGGGGGCTTAGATTTCACCCTAAGCATTCAGGGCAAAATTCTCCATTGGAACCAATGAAACTGTGTCTATTTGCATCATCAGAGAATTTGATCCTTACATTTTATTGAAACCAAAGTAGATAAACATCAGGCTGCATCATTTGCCTGCTCCCTTTTATTTCACTATTGGCTTGCATGTGGCACATGCTTTTCTATATTGTGCTAAATAATTTTTTTAAACTACTATTGTAACACTTTTCCTCCTCAAAGGGCACTGTGGTTTTCCAAATGCTCATGCTATGCATTAGCTACTAATGTATGGTTAATGTTGTATCCAAGAATGATTATTTCAATTATGCATTAAATGTTAAAATAACATTATGTTTAGTTCTTACATCTAAGAGCAAAAGAAATGAAATCTTAAAAGCATTGCATGGGAATGTATTTATAAAATGCTCCTGCATATTTCCTATGTTAAAATAGCTCTGTGATTTATCCATTGGCATTAGCACTTGAGAGACATTTTGAAAAACATAAACATTGAACAGCAGAAATTAACTGAGGCTAAAGCCCTCTGCACTTCTGCTGTTTACCAGTGGGAGCTCTATTTTCCCTTTGAAGGGTTAATATAATGTGATAGGCTACACAGACATATCACTTCAGCCTTCTGATACATCAGGAGATTATTTGTAGTTGGAAAACACCTTATTGGTCACCAGGGGCCTGATCCAAAACCTCTTGAAGTCAGTGGTTTTCTTTCCATTGACTTCAGTGAGCTTTAGATCAGACCATATAAAGCTTTTGATAGATTTACGCCAAAGGGGGCTGTTTAAGTTTGAAAGAAGCCAAATTAAGTTTGGCACTTTGCCTGGAATCACTTGAATCCTGAAACTTTCCAATTGAGACTGACATGTGAGTTGTCACATTTTCCATTGCTTTCTCCTCAGACCTTTTATTTTAGTATAAATGTCTTTTGTAGCTGTAAAAATGATGTATATATACTTTATAGTACTGAGTTGTATATAATTGTCTTATGTATTTAAAGTTTATTGTTTCTGTTGGCACTAATTGTTATTTAAATAAAGAAACACCTTTCCTGGGAATGATGTTTGCTTACTACTCCAAACAGATGTCCCAGTAATGGGTCCTTTTCTTAGCTTCTTGTTTAACTGAGTCCCTATATCTAGAAGAAACAATGGACTGAACACAGAACTGGCAATCAGGCATTCTAAGTTCTATTTCTGACTCTGATATTGACTTAATCAACCCTTTCTGTCTGTACTTTTGACCTCCCACCCCCTATAAAAATGGAGTAGGAATTATGTACCTTCCTTTTGCAAAGAGCTTTCAATCTTGACATTGTGTATCTAAATAGAAATTTGTATTATTTATTACTATAGCTAATATCTCCAAACTAGGTAGGCAATTTTGGCTTAGAATACTTTTCTACAATATTTTACCACTCAGACTGAATTAACTTTGGCTTTAATGACTGGGGTTAGCTTTCTCTTTTGAACAGGAAAATTAAATGCCAACAGCTGTCATATTTTCAGCAGTATATTGTAACTGGAATGTTTGCTGCAAATTACAATCACTGCTCTAATGATTTGGGATGTGGTGGGGCCACTCCCATTCAATAGGACCGTAGCTCTACTGAAATCAGATGAGCTACTTGTGGAGTAAGGCGGCTGGCACAGTCTGGCCTTTTGAGATTGCTTCTCATGTATTTATCTTACAAAACCCATAGAAATTAGAGTGTTTTCACTACGACATCTTCTGATAAAGGCAGAGTTACAGGCTTCTGTACTGTGAATGCAGCCAGTAGACTACTCTGAGCTAAGCATGTTATGAAATTGCTCACTCCACTAGCTAGGGCAGAGCAGAGTGCAATGGGGATACCCCCTTTGTAGCTCTTGCCCTTCAACTTCAGCATGTGAGGGAATGTTTCTTCTTCTATCCTACTCCACACAATCCTTGTGCTGTCTGGTACGGGGGAAGGGTCCTGGCTCAGGTCTTATTTCATTCACAGTTACAGCCAACAAGGGTGTAACTGCTGGGTGTGGTTCACTCTCCCATGTTGTGGCATTAGACCACTCACAGAGAGACAGGATGAGTGTACTCTACAGCTCTAACTGAGTCCCAGCTGGCTTTTTAGCTCAAGCTGTAGAAGTTCATGCATTAAGCTCCAGAGTTTCCAGATTTGGTTCCACCTGTCAGCATTACACTAGGCTCCTGTGGGGTGTTGATGGTCAAGGGAGGAAGTGTTGCTACCTTGGTGGGGTACACATTGTAGGCTTCCCTGGTTTAGCCCCATCTTTTATGTATTTGCTGGGTCACTGGGAGGGACAACTGGGGGGTAACTTGGTTAATGGACAATTTTGGGGGGGCCAGAATCGATTTTTATAATTTGGCAAAAATCAGCAAACTGCTGGGTAGACATTTCCCTTTCCACTCAACATTCCGGAAGTCTGGTTTTGGGGGTTTATGCATTGTCCCAACTTCAGCAGAGGGTGTGTGCGTGCATGCGTGTGTGAGTCAGGGTGGGGGGGAATTAGAAAGAATCTGACAGAGATCCCTGTAATGCAGTGGGCTGCCTGGGCACTGGTTCTGGCAATTCACATGGTATAGTGAGAGTGTTTGTGGCTCGCCTCACCTCATTTCTCCTCCAGCATGGAGGAGGGGAGTTAGTCATGACTCTGGATTCAAGTCAGGGTCCTTCCATAGGCCTGAGGGAGTAGGTTAGACCTGGCCATCATGTTCATCCTTAGGCTAATAGTGCATCAATTATAGGGGCCATAGGTATCAACCAGAAGTGGGGAATTTGGGGAGGTTTCCCCTGTTAGATATGAGGTAGGTTCCAGCTTCCATATTTAACCATACTGCAGTGTCTGTGTCTCATTGCTTCTGTGGCCACATCAGTGAAGTGGATGAATGACTTCTGACAGCACTGGAGATAAGAATGAAAGAAAAAAACCATACACAGCTCAACTTTACACAACTAAAATCAGCTTTTCTCTGGGCTTAAATTGTGATACAATAAATTGAGAAATAAAATATATAGTATAAATATCTCTCTATCTGGGATCTCTTTACACTGAATCCAGCTAATAAGTGTGAAGGCTAATGTGATCGCTTTGACAAAGACCTGATAAACATGGGGGCTGTGTCTACACTGGCACCCTTTTCCGTAAAAGGGATGCTAATGAGACACTTCGGAATTGCAAATTCCGTGGGGGATTTAAATATCCCCCGCGGCATTTGCATGAACATGGCTGCCGCTTTTTTCCGGCTCGGGGTTTTGCCGGAAAAAAGCGCCAGTCTAGACGGGATCTTGTGGAAAATAAGCCCTTTTCTGGAAGATCCCTTATTCCTACTTGAAATTTGCAATTCCAACTGGTCTCATTAGCATCCCTTTTCCAGAAAGGGGTGCCAATGTAGACACAGCCCTAGAATTTTCCTGGTGCTGTGCGTAACTAAAGGGAAAATATACTCTATAGTTTTACATGTATTTATGTCCTTTGTTTTTGGGCTTTGTCAAAATCAATACTTAGATTTGTTCAGGAAAACGCATCTAGCTTAAATACGTAATTGGCAATGACACAGAAAGCAAAGATGTTTCACAGACTGCCTGGTGACTTTAAGGTCACCATTCGTTATTATTTCAAAACAAAGGAGGCTGTGTTACTCATCTTCTCCGTGTAGTCACAGGCTGTTAGAGAGAGAGAAAAATCTGACTTGTGTTATATTCCTCAATGGTGTGGCTATTTCCCACAAGTGCATAGGGTCAGATTCATGGTTAATATGCCTTGGCTTGAAGATTGTGATAATAGCTTGTGATCTGACCAATTGTAGAAGTTTCTAGCTCAACACACCAGTTAATTATGTACTCCTGTCTCAAAAGAATACTTTAAATAGGCACACATCTCATGGCAGCACTGAATATTGTATATGTGCTGGAATAGCTAATGGTAGTCTCTTTGGCTACGTCTACACTGCAGGCTTCTTGCACAAGAACTTTTTGCAGAAGAGATCTTCCTCAAAAAGTTCTTGTGCAAGAGCGTGTCCACGCTGCTATGTGCTTTTGCACAAGAGAGCGTCCACATTGCCATGGAAGCTCTTGCACAAGAAACCTCTGTTGTTCATCCACACACTCCTTTTTGCACAAGAACACTTGTGCAAAAAGGCTTATTCCTCATAGAAAGAAGAATAACTCTTGAGCAAAAAGCCCTGTCTTCTGATGATTTACAGGCTTCCCCCAACGGGCAACGTGATCAGCTCGGGATAGGTTGCAAGTCAGGGGCATTGTAACTGGAGCCTGCATTTACGACAGGCATTGTAAGCTGTTGTAAATGTGGGGTCAAGGACGTAAGTCGAGGGATTTTGGACCCTTCTGCACTTACGGAAAATGTCATAAACAGGGGGCTCATAAATCAGGCCATCGTAAAGCCTCCTGTACTGTACTTTTTATTGCACAAAAATGCACTTGTGTGGACAATCCACAAGTTTTTGCGCAAAAACAGCCATAACTCTGCAATGTAGATGTAGCCTTTGATGGATGTGGACAATCCACAAGTTTTTGTGCAAAAACAGCCGTAACACTGCAATGTAGATGTAGCCTTTGATGGAACCATAAACAGGGAACAAACAGTATGTGGTTTTTATTCATCAGTTAGCTCAGCAATCTCCTTTTCAATGAAATACAGCACATGTAGTTTTGTAATGCTCCTTGAGGGATGTTGGATCCTAAGGCCAATAATGGGTTACATTCACTCCTATAGGTAACTTTCTCATCTGTCACAAATACAACCTGTACAATTAAGGTGGAAATCCTGCCTTTGCCAATATAGAGAGCCCTGCCTACAGCAGAGCTGGTTGTGACTCTGAATTCAAGTAGGGCCCACAGCATGGGGAGCCAGGATGTTTTCAATCTACACAGGCTCCAAATACTTCCTGCACATCAGGAGTCCAGCTCCATGGGTACTTCCTGCTTCTAATTGCCATGGGGATATGAGGATAAAGCTATATGTTAATCAAGTCCCTTCTCCTACAGGCTGGGAAAGATGGAAACTGAGAAGGAGAAATGGTTACTATTATTTCTACTGGTAAATACATGGTACTCAGATGCAATGGTGATGGCAACCAACACCTGAGTGAATATATTATTCCAGAAAATTTGCTACACAGCCTCCCTCATACATATTTCTCTTGAAAGCATAACAAAGGCATCCTACCAGATACTTTCAATCAAGGGAAGGTATCATGACACTTTGCCTTTGTACAGAATCTTTAACCCAAGAATCTCAGAACATTTATACAAATGAAGGAAGGCCTGCTCTGAAGTAAGGGTTGTCATACGTAAGCAACATGGGGCACAGGACACCTCAGCAACACATGCAGTACAGGAGAATGAAACGAGAGACAGCTGGGCTGTACTGTGGCCCTCTGTTATGTCTTGCTCATACACACTATTTAGTTCCTCTGGTTACATCTGAAAGCTCTATACTTCCTCCAAGACTCTGTGTTATTAGTCTAGACCTACATTATGCCTTGTAAGAAAGGCCAGCTCTTGGACTGGAGAGCCAGAAGAATGTCTAGAGTGATCCAAACTGTTGTTAATTTAAGCAGTGAGTGAATTCAGCCAATGGACATGTTAGTTAATTATTTTTTCTATTTTTTCATCTTCACATACCTCTGCATTTCCTTTTACACAAGGGCCAGAAACAATCCCATGATCAGTGTTTAATTAGTGCCAGGGGTAGCAAGGATTGAGCCCTGGCATCTTGTGGCTTGGCAGTTTATAGCTCTGGCTCTTCTAGGCTTGCTGCATCAGTTATCAAAGTAAAGCAAATGCTCAATTTTTAAAGCAATCTATTTCATTACAAATTAAGCACTGAGCAAGATCACCTTTTTCCTGGTCTTATGGCCAAATAGGGTGGCCTGAGGGTTGCAAATGTCTCTCCAAGGGTTTTTCCACTTGTTCAAAGTTTCATAGGCTGTCATGTCAAAAGGAGAAGGGGACAGGCTCTGACCACTTTTAAGCACTGGTCACTTACCAAATCAGGACAGAGCCATCTGGAGGATTGCTCCAGCTGGGTG